TAGCTGCGTCTGCGTCTACGTCTGGTCAGCTGGCGGCCCCCTGTGAGTGTCGCGCTTTGTCGCACGACACTCTCCTGTGGCACCACCGTCTTGGTCACCCCTCCTTGCCTCGCCTGCGTCGCATGCACTCTCGCTCCCTGGTCTCTGGTCTTCCCAGGTCTCTGCCTGCCCTCCCTCCCTCGCCTGCGCCGCCCTGCATTCCTTGTGTCGAGGGGCGGCAGCGCGCCGCTCCTCACTCCTCCTCGTTTCCTCCCACAGAGGCTCCCCTGCAGACGCTCCACCTGGACGTGTGGGGCCCAGCCCGCGTCCAGGGACAGGGCCGCGAGCGGTACTTCCTGCTGGTCGTCGACGACTACACGCGTTACACCACGGTCTTCCCCTTGCAGAGCAAGGGGGACGTCCCTGATGTTTTGATCCCTTGGATCCGCGCTGTTCGTCTCCAGCTCCGCGAGCGGTTCCGGCGGGATTTTCCTGTCCTGCGTCTGCACTCTGACAGAGGTGGTGAGTTCTCCTCTGACCTCTTGGCAGCCTACTGTGCGGAGCACGGCATCACCCAGCCGTTCACGCTTCCTCCACAGCAGAATGGGGTTGCTGAGCGTCGCATTGGCTTAGTCATGGAGGTCGCTCGTACCTCCATGATCCATGCGGCTGCCCCCCATTTCCTGTGGCCGTTTGCGGTCCGGTACGCCGCGCATCAGCTCAACCTCTGGCCCCGTGTCTCCTTGCCAGAGACCTCGCCCACACTGCTGTGGACGGGGAAGGTTGGTGATGCGTCGCGTTTCCGGGTCTGGGGTGCTCGTGCCTTTGTCCGCGATACCACCGCGGACAAGCTCTCCGCCCGCGCTGTTCCCTGTGTCTTCCTTGGCTTTGTCCCTGACGCGCCTGGTTGGCAGTTTTACCATCCCACCTCGCGCCGTGTCTTTGCGTCTCAGGACGTCACGTTCGACGAGTCGGTTCCCTTTTACCGTCTCTTCCCCTACCGCACTGCCCCGCTCCCCCCCCCGCCGCTCTTCCTCGCTCCAGGTGCTCCCCAGGTAGACCCCCTCCCCACTCCTGGTCCTGCTCCTTCAGGTGTTTCTCAGGTAGACCCTCCTCCCTTGACTGCGCCGGTTGAGGTCACTGGTGACTCAGGTCCTACTGAGGGTGGTCCTTCTCGGGGTGCTACTTCTAGGGGTGCTGAGCCTGGGGGTGCGGAGCCTGGGGGTGCTGAGCCTGGGGGTGCTGAGCCTGAGGGTGCGGAGCTTGAGGGTGTGGAGCCTGGTGGTGCTGAGCCTGAGTGTGAGGGGTCTGGGGGTGCTGAGCTTGGCGGTACTGACGCTGGAGGTTCTGGAGCTACTGAGGGTGCTGGCACTGGAGGTTCTGGAGCCGCTGGAGGTGCAGGTGCTGAGGGTACTGACACCGGAGGTTCTGGAGCCGTTGGGGGTGCGGGCGCTGAGGGTTCTGAGTCTGCTGTTGCGCGGTCTCCTTGGAGTAGCCGCCTTCGTCCACGTGTGCCTCTCACCCCACAGCAGCTGCAGGACTGGTACGGTCGCCGTCCGCGTCGCGCTGCTGGAGCTAGGAGTGGTGCTGGACCTTTGTCTACTGGAGGTGCTGGAGTCGCTGGTTCTGGAGGTGCTCGTACTGGAGACACTGCGGCTGGAGACCCTGGGACTGGAGGTGCTGGCTCTGGGGGTGCTGCTGCTGGAGACACTGAGGCTGGAGACCCTGGGACTGGAGGTGCTGGTTCTGGGGGTGCTGCTGCTGGAGACACAGAGGGTGGAGACCCTGGGACTGGAGGTGCTGGTTCTGGGGGTGCTGCTGCTGGAGACACTGAGGCTGGAGACCCTGGGACTGGAGGTGCTGGTTCTGGGGGTGCTGCTGCTGGAGACACAGAGGTTGGAGACCCTGGGGCTGGAGGTGTCGGCTCTGGGACTGGAGCTTCTGGAGCTGCTGGAGGTACTGGAGCTGCTGGAGGCACTCGAGCTGCTGGAGCTGCCGCTCCTGGTGCAGCTGCGCCGACACGACGGTTCTTCGCTCCGCCGTCTCCGTCGTCTCTGCCGCCGTCTGACTCTGTTCTTCGTCAGGTTCTTACTCTCCCATCGTCTACTGGTCTTCCGTTACAGCCCGGCTCACCGCTGCCTGCTCCTTCTCCTTACACTGTGCAGACTGGTAGTCCTGCTGAGCGTCGTGAGCCTGCGTCGCGTCCTGTTTCGCCTGTTCGTCCTAGTCGTACCGGTCGTCGTGTTCCTCGTTCGCGTCAGCCGGCTGTCCCCAGCGCACACCTCGTAGTCCGTCGTCCTTCCTCTGCTCCGCAGCCTGTTCCTCTGCCGTCTCCTCCTGCGTCCTCGTTGCCTGACGTTCCGGACCCTGCGTCTGACCGGTTTCGTGCTGAGCACCCTACTGTCACGCGTCTACTAGCCACAGTTGTCACTGACCCGTCGTTTGCATCTGCTGCTGCGTCTGCTCTTGTCGCTGAGCTTGTTGACTTTGCTGCTGCCTGTCGTCTAGACTTCACTGCCAGTCTTGTTACTGAGTCTGAGTCTGTCTGTCCTCCGTCCGTCGGGGGTGAGTGTGCTCTTAGCACGGACGTCCTTGAGGACAGGCAGGAGGAGTTCCAGTGTCTCGCTGCTGCTTTACCTCATCTTGTGTCCTCGCTACTTGCCCCTGAGGGAGACCCGGATGCACCAGACATCCCGACTCCGCGCTCTTACGCAGAGGCGATAGAGGGTCCCTACTCCTCTCAGTGGCAGGCAGCCATGGACGCAGAGATGGCTTCCTGGAAGTCCACACGCACCTATGTCGACGAGGTTCCCCCACCTGGGGCGAACATCGTCAGTGGCATGTGGATTTTCAGGGTGAAGCGGCCGCCGGGTTCTCCGCCTGTCTTCAAGGCGCGTTACGTGGCTCGAGGCTTCAGTCAACGAGAGGGAGTTGACTTCTTCCAAACCTTCTCCCCCACCCCGAAGATGACCACTCTTCGGGTGCTGCTGCATGTTGCTGCTCACCGTGACTACGAGCTTCACTCTCTTGACTTCAGCACAGCTTTCTTACAGGGCAGCCTGCACGAGGAGATCTGGCTGCGCCGCCCCCCGGGCTTCACTGGGTCGTTCCCTCCTGGCACCCAGTGGAGCCTCCGGCGGCCGGTCTACGGTCTCCGCCAGGCACCACGTGAGTGGCACGACACATTGAGGACTACGCTTGCGGCTCTTGGGTTTGCGCCTTCTACTGCTGACCCGTCGCTGTTTCTGCGCACCGACACTTCACTGCCGCCGTTCTACATCCTCGTGTACGTCGACGACTTGGTTTTTGCCACTGCTGACACTGAGGCTCTCGCCCACGTGAAGTCGGAGCTGCAGAAGAGACACACGTGCACAGACTTGGGCGAGCTGCGCAGCTACCTTGGCTTGCAGATCACCCGGGACCGAGCACGCCGCACCATCACCTTGACTCAGTCACACATGGTGCAGCAGGTCCTTCAGCGCTTCGGCTTCACCTGGTCTTCAGCACAGGCCACTCCTCTGGCTACAGGTCACACGCTCTCAGCTCCACCTTCGGACGAGTCCGTAGAGCCGAGTGGTCCTTACCCAGAGCTAGTCGGCTGCCTCATGTACCTGATGACTTGCACTCGACCTGACCTCGCGTACCCTCTTGGTCTTCTGGCTCGCTACGTGGCTCCTGGTCGGCACCGACCTGAGCACATGGCTGCTGCTAAGAGGGTACTGCGCTACTTGTGCAGCACATCAGGCATGGGGCTAGTGCTTGGAGGGACGAGCCCAGTTGTCCTCACTGGGCACTCAGACGCTTCTTGGGTTGACGACCTGGCTACTCAGCGGTCGTCACAGGGTTACACCTTCAGCCTTGGCTCTGGTTCAGTTTCGTGGCGTTCTACACGCTCGTCTTCAGTTCTCAGCTCCAGTTGTGAGGCTGAGATCTACGCCACAGCCATGGCTGCACAGGAGTTACGCTGGCTCACCTACCTGCTGACTGACTTGGGAGAGCAGCCTCGTTCTCCTCCAGTGCTGTACATCGACAACAAGGCCGCCATTGCCTTGTGTGAGGAGCACAGACTGGAGCACAGAACGAAACACATTGCTCTGCGTTACTTCCTGGCTCGAGAGTTGCAGCAGCGAGGCCAGCTTCGTCTTCGTCACGTGGCCACTCGGGCCAACACTGCTGATATATTCACCAAGGCACTTCCGTCTGGTGATCATCAGCGCTTTTGTACCCTGTTAGGCCTTGTGCCTACGCTTCCACACTTGCTGTAGTTTCTGCTTGTACTGTGATCTATATATATACATGCATGCCTGCTCTTGCTAGGTAGTCATCACTGTACTGTTATTGTTGCATATATATCTCTGCATGTGGACTGGCCTTGTGGCCCTTTGCTTGTGCTCAGAATGTGTGGTGACGTTGAGATCCACCCTGAGCTTGCTTTGCTTCTCTTGACTGGTCGTTTGACCCCTTGTTCTCCCCCACTTTGCCTATGGGGGTGTGTCAAACATATATGCTGGATATTGTCTAGGCTGTAGTGGGGTAGCCCATATGGGGTACAGCCCAATTAGGGTTTACTACTTGTACTCCTGCATGCTGCTAGTTCATTCATTCCTGCTGCTAGATTCTGACAAAAACCACCCTGATAATCAGGGCATCAGGGTGATTTACCTGATAAATTAGGCCCTGCCTGTTTGGTGACAGCAACAGTCAGATGAATGTGAACTAAACTACCGTTTCAGTATTATGACTTCACAGGTCAAGAGACCCTGAGTAAAGATGTGAGTTATTGCTGCAACTGATATAATACATTCTGACATCAGCAACAGGTGCAGCACTTAGCGGGCTGAAATCAACCGGACAGCAAGCGAATAGACAGGCTCTGATTGCTATCAACCATGCATTCAACTACATGTGAGCGATGCTTGCCGTGGTGCATTCACGGCCCACCTAGCCACATCAACACATTGGGCTAGCATTAGACGCTGAAAATACTCGCACATGATGCACTGCGTGGTGGGTGCGGGGGTTTACGAGGACTCGGGCATGGAGCGGATGATGTCAGAGTCACCTGCACACACACGACGCCAGCACACCCACGTCAGCACTGGACAGCACCACAAACAGGCAGACAGCAAGCCCACCAAACACACGACCCAGAGCTGAAAACAAAACGTACCAGCGTCTGTGATGCTGAGAGCACAACGTACCAGCGTCTGTGATGCTGAGAGCACAACGTACCAGCGTCTGTGATGCTGAGAGCCGAGACCCGGAAGAACTTGCCGCAAGCCGTGCCGAGATCCACGTTGTCTGCAGCAAGTGATGGTGGGGGCGCACAGGTCCGTATAGGGGGATGCAGGACGGGTGCAAGTGAGGTCATGACAATCGATGCAACAGACCTGTTCTCAGCTACTGATTGCTTGCTACATTGTAAATTAAAAAAACGTGGTGCACTTACTGCCCGAGTAGTGGTGCACGCCCGTCTTGGAGAGCATGGCGTAGTACTCAATCTCCGACTTGCGCAGCGGCGGGCAGTTGTTGCCGATGATCACCAGCTTCGCTGCACCACGCACACAGCACCGCACCACGCACACAGCACCGCACCACGCACACAGCACCGCACCACGCACACAGCACCGCACCACGCACACAGCACCGCACCACGCACACAGCACCGCACCACGCACACAGCACCGCACCACGCACACAGCACCGCACCACGCACACAGCACCGCACCACGCACACAGCACCGCACCACGCACACAGCACCGCACCACGCACACAGCACCGCACCACGCACACAGCACCGCACCACACGCACGCCCACAGCACCGCACCACACCACGCACACACGCACGCACACAGGAGCAGCGCGATTGAGTGACGAACGAATCGGTGAAAAGAAAGCAGAGAGCGGGGAGGGGAGGCATTTGAGGCTCATGAGACGCGGGAGTGCGGGTTCACCGCAGGTGCAGGTGGCGCCTGTGACTCTCATATATTGCCAGAGCCCGAATAAATTCCGGCAAACGCGCAGCGGGAAAGAGGCGGTGCGCAGGGGTGTAGCTGTGGCGGGCTCGGGTTCAGTGACAAGGCGATCCATGCCCAACTCAACCAAGTGCGCCCCACTGGAAGGTGCGCGCGCTATCACGCGCGAGAATCAAGACGCACTTCACAACGCCAACGCTGCCTCATCGCCCCTCCCGCACTTGACGCCCGCTGTAATTCCTAGACCCGCTGCACCCCACGACGAATGCCGCGCCACTGCAAAACCGCGGGCCCCCCTAGAACCGCGGGCCCCCCTGGAACCGCGGGCCCCCCTGGAACCGCTTCTCCCCATTAAAAAGGCCTCTCTCCGTGACAACCGCTTTTCTCCCTTAAAACCGCCTCGCAACCCTAAAAGCTCCTCCCCTCCACATTTCCCCATGCCGACCCCGCAGTAAACAGCTCCCAGGACGCTCGCCGCACTGCCCATGCTGGAATCTCCCCGCCCCACCGCTCCTCGACCCACTCTGCCCAGCAACCCATGGCTGCTTCGTCCCACCGCTGCGATCCACACCCGTCAGACGCCGCCCACTCGGTGCGCGCCAGTCTGCTTCACGCAACGGCGCCGCTCCAACCCACGTCGCCGCCTGCGCGACCTGACGGAGGACCTGTGCGACCTGACGGAGGCCCTGTGCGACCTGACGGAGGCCCTGTGCGACCTGACGGAGGCCCTGTGCGACCTGACGGAGGCCCTGTGCGACCTGACGGAGGCCCTGTGCGACCTGACGGAGGCCCTGTGCGACTTGTCCCCCTGCCCGTCACGCGACTCGATGACTACAGCCGCTCGCAGCTCCGCTACACCGTGGTGTACGGCTTCCCTCCGCACACGACCGGCCTACCAGGCAACCCCTTCCCACTATCTTGAGAATCCCCGTGGATCAACAACAAAGACGATCAACAACTGTGACAGTCGTCCGCGACGGCACACGGCTGTGAGAGCCCGAAGGCCGGACCGAACCGAACCTAGCAGTCGCCCCGCCGTGATGGCAGACGAGGCAAGTGAAAGGAGAGCGGGAGGAGGCAGGGGTGGCAGCACTCACACTTGCCGGAGCGCAGGCTCTTGAGCACGGTCTTGTAGCCCAGCGTGTACTTGCCGCTCTTCATCACCAGCGTCAGCCGGCTGTTGATGTTCTCCTGCGCCTTCTTCTGCTCCCCGGCAAGTCAAAGGAGAGCGCGCGGGGGGGGGGGAGGGGGGGGGGGTGGAAGGAAATGGGGGGATGGGGGGAGTGGGGGCCACACAGGCGCGTCCATGAGCGGCAGCGGCGAGTGGGCACGGAGGGATGCGGAGGTAGCGGCATCAGACGACGAGTCGATGCATAGACGCTCGCACGTATCGCGTGCAAAAACACGTCGCGGAGAACATGGGAGATAGGGCAACATGAGAGCAGCACTGGTGTGGCGCGAGTCGAGAAAAGCATGTGAGAATGGTGCCACGTGCGGCCTACTCTGCGCTGGACTTACAGTTTTCTTTGCGGGAGCCATGACGACTGCTGCGAATGAGGATGACACGAAGCAGCTGCACACAAGTAGCAGTCACGCAAGCCCACCCACATGCATGGATACAAGCACAGGTCGAGAGATCAGAACTCAAACAGTCGTAAGACGCACGGCGTGGATCGAAAGCGCTACCGACGACTGCCAGACACGAAGCCCCTTTGTCAGGCTTGGGCAGACTACGCCGCGTCAAAAGTTCAAGAAGGGTTTTAGATTATGCGCGTCCAATTGCAGGGATCGGTACTCAATACGGCGGGACGGTGGAATTTCTGGACTGAAAACCGCGGGGATAAGGGTGGATGGACGGGAAAGGAATTTTGACTCGGGCAAAATTTCGTGCAAACGACGAAAGGACCAATCGTAAGGCACAGTTACAGCGATGGATAAGTTCTACGGGTCGAACAACGTGAGAGCGCTCACCACGGATTGAGCACAGGAGATCAGTGAGGTGCCAAAAAGGAGCACTAACAACCAGCAGAGGGCGAGTTATTGGTGGGAGAGGCAAGAGCGGTGAGGAGGGGAATCAGCAGGAAGAGGTGGAGGTGGAAAGGAGGGAGGGGAAAGGCGAAAAGGGGAGCTGGTTCGTGCTGCGATCACGAAGAGTTGGAAAAACACGTAGCCCCAAATGTTGCAACGACAAAGACCCGCAGAAGTTGAGTCCGCTTCTAGCTTCATCCCCGAAACTGTAGCGTATCGGTAGAAAAAAATATTTCTCCCAACACAAACAGTGAGATTAAAGCTCGAGCAATGAAGCAAACAATGAAGCTCTCCGCCTTACAACCGTCATGGCTATGGCCAGATGCTTTAAATCAGCAAATGTGTATCAATTTTTTCGCCTGATATTGGATCTGATGCACTCAGTCGATACATGACTTTTAAACTTTACACAACGGTTTTTTTTTTTTTTTTTTTTTTAACGTTCTAAACACTTGTTTCGTGAATTCTAGGCTATCAGTACTGCTATATACATCCCTCCATCATGCGTCGACACAAGGCTATTATCATTGTTTGTTACAAGCTTCTCCATTAATATCTACGCGCATTACTGTCAAAGTAGCTAGGCAAGGTCGAAGTTGACCATCGAGGAGTTTGGTACAAAAGGTAACCCTAAGGAAATGTACCTCATACTATCTACCCCACTACAGCCTACCAAGAACAATAATAACACACATATATGTTTGACACACCCCATAGGCAAAGTGGGGGAGAGCAAGAGGTCACAAGACCAGTCAAGAAAGGCAAAGCAAGCTCAGGGTGGATCACAACGTCACCACACACTCTGAGCACAAGCAAAGGGCCACAAGGCCAGTTCACATGCAGAGATATATATGCAGCAATAACAGTACAGTGATGACTATCTAGCAAGCAGTAAGCAAGTATATATATATATATATATATATTACAGTACAAGCAAGGATTACAGCAAGTGTGGAAACGTAGGCACAAGGCCTAACAGGGTACAGAAGCGCTGATGATTACCAGACGGAAGTGCCTTGGTGAATATATCAGCAGTGTTGGCCCGAGTGGCCACGTGACGAAGACGAAGCTGACCTCGCTGCTGCAACTCTCGAGCCAGGAAGTAACGCAGAGCGATGTGCTTCGTTCTGTGCTCCAGTCTATGCTCCTCACACAAGGCAATGGCTGCCTTGTTGTTAACGTACAAAACTGGAGGAGAACGAGGCCGCTCACCCAAGTCAGTCAGCAGGTAGGTGAGCCAGCGTAGCTCCTGTGCAGCCATGGCGGTGGCGTAGATCTCAGCCTCACAACTTGAGCTGAGAACAGAAGACGAGCGTGTAGACCGCCAAGAAACAGAGCCAGAGCCAAGGCTGAAGGTGTAACCCTGCGACGACCGCTGTGTAGTCTGGTCGTCAACCCAAGACGCGTCTGAGTGCCCAGTGAGGACCACCTCACTCCGTCCTCCAAGCACGAGCCCCATGCCTGATGTACTGCACAGGTAGCGCAACACCCTCTTGGCAGCATCCATGTGCACCTTTCGGTGCCTACCAGGAGCCACGTAACGAGCCAAAAGGCCAAGAGGATATGCGAGGTCAGATCGAGTGCAGGTCATCAGGTACATGAGGCAGCCAACTAGCTCTGGGTAAGGACCACTCGGCTCTACGGACTCGTCCGAAGGTGGAGCTGAGAGCGAGTGACATGTAGCCAGAGGAGTGGCCTGTGGGGAGGACAAGGAGAAGCCGAAGCACTGAAGGACCTGCTGCACCATGTGTGATTGAGTCAGGGTGATGGTGCGGCGTGCTCTGTCCCGGGTGATTTGCAAGCCAAGGTAGCTGCGCAGCTCACCCAGGTCTGTGCACGTGTGTCTCTTTTGCAGCTCCGACTTCACCTGAGCGAGAGCCTCAGTGTCAGCAGTGACAAAGACCAAGTCGTCGACGTATACGAGGATGTAAAACGGCGGCAGCGAAGTGTCGGTGCACAGGAACAGCGACGGGTCAGCAGTCGAAGGAGCGAACCCAAGAGCCGCAAGTGTAGTCCTCAGTGTGTTGTGCCACTCACGAGGCGCCTGGCGGAGACCGTAGACTGGCCGCCGGAGGCTCCACTGGGTACCAGGAGGGAACGACCCAGTGAAGCCAGGTGGGCGGCGCAGCCAGATCTCCTCGTGCAGGCTGCCCTGTAAGAAGGCTGTGCTGAAGTCAAGAGAGTGAAGCTCGTAGTCGCGCTGAGCGGCAACGTGCAGCAGCACCCGAAGAGTGGTCATCTTCGGGGTGGGGGAGAAGGTTTGGAAGAAGTCAACTCCCTCTCGCTGACTGAAGCCTCTAGCAACGTAACGAGCCTTGAAGACAAGCGGAGAACCCGGCGGCTGCTTCACCCTGAAAATCCACATGCCATCGACGATGTTCGCCCCAGGAGGGGGAACCTCATCGACGTAAGTGCCTGTGGACTTCGAGGATGCCATCTCTGCGTCCATGGCTGTCTGCCACTGAGAGGAGTACTCACCCGCGATCGCCTCAGCGTAAGAGCGCGGGGTCGGGATGTCTGGTGCATCCGGGTCTCCCTCAAGGGCAAGCAGCATGGCCACGAGATGAGGCGCAGCAGCCGCAAGACACTCAAGGTCCTCGTGCCTGTCCTCAAGGACGTCCGTGCTAAGAGCACACTCACCCCCGACGGACGGAGGACAGACAGACTCAGACTCAGCAACAAGACTGGCAGCGAAGTCTAGACGACAGGCAGCAGCAAAGTCAACAAGCTCAGCGACCAGAGCAGACGCAGCAGTAGACTCAAACGACGGGTCAGTGACAACAGTGGCTAGCAGACGCGTGACAGTAGGGTGCTCAGCACGAAACCGGTCAGACTCAGGGTCCGGAACGTCAGGCAGAGAGGACGCAGGAGGAGACGGTAGAGGAACAGGCTGCGGAGCAGAGGAAGGACGACGGACTACGAGGTGTGCGCTGGGGGTAGCCGGCTGACGCGAACGAGGAACACGACGACCGGTACGACCAGGACGAACAGGCGAGACAGGACGCGACGTAGGCTCACGACGCTCAGCAAGACTACCTGTCTGCTCAGTGTAAGGAGAAGGAGCAGGTAGCGGTGAGCCAGGCTGTAACAGAAGACCAGTAGACGACGGGAGAGTAAGAACCTGACGAAGAACAGAGTCAGGCGGCGGCAGAGATGACGGAGACGGCGGAGCGAAGAACAGTCGTGTCGGCGCAGCTGCACCAGTACCGGCAGCTCCAGCAGCTCCAGTACCTCCAGCAGCTCCAGCACCTCCAGCAGCTCCAGAAGCTCCAGCCCCAGAACCGACACCTCCAGTCCCAGGGTCTCCAACCTCAGTGTCTCCAGCAGCAGCACTCGCAGAACCAGCACCTCCAGTCCCAGGGTCTCCAGTCTCAGTGTCTCCAGCAGCAGCACCTCCAGACGCAGCACCCCCAGCCCCAGCAGCTCCAGTAACTTCAGTACGAGCACCTCCGGGACCAGCGACTCCAGCACCTCCAGTAGACAAAGTACCAGCACCACTCCTAGCTCCAGGGACGTCAGCAGAAGTACCTCCAGCAGCAGAGCCCCGGGCTCCAGCAGCGCGACCTTGACGGCGATCGTTCCAGTCGTGCAGCTGCTGTGAGGTGAGAGGCACACGTGGACGAAGGCGGCTACTCCAAGGAGACCGCGCAACAGCAGACTCAGAACCCTCAGCGCCAGCACCCCCAACTGCTCCAGAACCTCCAGCGCCAGCACCCTCAGCAGCTCCAGAACCTCCAGCTCCAGCGCCACCAGCACCAGTACCTCCAGCGGCTCCAGAACCTCCAGGCGCAGTACCTCCAGGCTCCTCACGCGTAGGCTCAGTACCCTCAGACTCGGCACCCCCAAGCTCAGCACCTTTAGGCTCCTCACGCGCAGGCACAGCACCCCCAGACTCCGCACCCCCAGGCTCAGCACCTCCAGGCGCCTCTCGCTCAGGCTCCGCACCCCCAGGCTCAGCACCCCCAGAGACAGCACCCCGAGCAGGACCACCTCCAGCAGGACCTGAGTCACCAGTGACCTCAACAGGCGCAGGTACCGGAGGGTCTACCTGAGAAACACCTGAAGGAGCAGGACCTGGCGCGGGGAGGGGGTCTACCTGGGGAGGACCTGGAGCGAGAAAGAGCGGCGGGGGGGGGGCGAGAGGCAGTGCGGTAGGGAAAGAGACGGTAGAAGGGAACAGACTCGTCAAAGGTGACGTCCTGAGACGCAAAGACACGGCGCGAGGTGGGGTCGTAAAACTGCCAGCCAGGCGCGTCAGGAGGAAAACCAAGGAAGACGCAGGGAATGGCGCGAGCAGAGAGCTTGTCCGCGGTGAGATCGCGGACAAAGGCACGAGCACCCCAGACCCGGAAACGCGACGCATCGCCAACCTCCCCCGTCCACAGCAGCGTGGGCGAGGTCTCCGGCAAGGAGACACGGGGCCAGAGGTTGAGCTGATGCGCGGCGTACCGGACTGCAAACGGCCACAGAAAATGGGGAGCTGCCGCATGGATCATGGAGGTACGAGCGAC